ACCGACCGACCGACCGACCGACCGTACCGTACCGTACCGTACCGACCGACCGAACCGACCGACCGACCGACCGACCGACCGACCGACCGACCGACCGACCGACCGACCGTACCGACCGACCGACCACCGACCGACCGACCGACCGACCGACCGACCGCACGCACGCACGCACGCACACACACACACACACACACACACACACACACACACACACACACACACACACACACACACACACACACACACACACACACACACAAACCCTGATTGCCCGAACATTATTTAAAAGTGAGCCGAAATAAGTGAAAGTGTGCGCCTTCCTGAACTGCATAATAATTGTTCACAGGGAGCTTAACAAGAGGTTAAGCCACAGATTAATTGGGAGAAGGTGGAACATTGTGTTATGTACTCTTTGTAATCACTAACACCAAAAAAAATGACTCAGCTTGACCTTGTGATTAGAGAAAACCCAAGTCATTTTGATGCTAATTTGAAGCCCACAGTGTGCATTTGAATTGCAAGTGTTTGTTGTTTTTCGGTTGAAAGCTGCGGTGCACATAACACCGCATCATGTTTTTCCTGCTTGCGGAAACTGATACATTTCAAACACACTTGGGTGATGTATTCAGCAAATGTACCCCATACATTACCCTCTGCATGCTCCAGAAGAAAGACATATGCTTATGTATGCAGAAGATTCGCTCCAAATCTGCCCTTATGTTTCTGCCTAATGAAGTGATTAATTCTCTATGAACAGTATACGAATATATAGGGGGGAAGGGAAGAGGACAAGAAGGCTGATTCTTGCTTAGCTTTTTAAAAGGAATAATTTAAAGAGGCAGAAAATAGAGCGGAAAATTGAATTATACCTCCTCTTCTATATCGGGAAAGAAATCAAATCCATGTGAAAGATCCAAAGAAAGAGTTTCTTCAGGGATCTCATTTGCTATGACTTCTGCTGATATGGTTTCCCCCACATAATGGCCTCTTCAGCAGCTGCTGTCCACCAGAGGAAAGACCCTTTGAACCCCCCTATCCGCACGGCCAGATATCTCATCCCTGCTGCTGTACACTTCTTCTGTGATGAGGTGGCAAAATATATGCGATCAAGGTTAAAGAAAGTCAGAGCATGTCCTCAGCGACTGAGTTGACAATGAAGACATAATCAGTGGACCTCCTGCATCAAGATGGTGGTCTTACAGTCATATGTCATCACAATTACACACAGTGCAACAGATGCTCAGTGGCTGTAGTCAGCTCTGGGGCATTTCAGTATTTTACCCTCCAGTGGACCCCCTCGGACTGGTTGTTGAATACATTTTTGCAAAACAGTCCAATCACGTTTGAGGTGCAGGTAAACAGTCTGTGTGGAGAGCATTTGCGGAAAGCATTTACCAAAATCTCATTACGCAAAGGTTATCATCTGACAATAAATCTCTATAAAAACGCATGCATATTAATACAGATCTGCTCACAGAGGCTTAGCACCAAGAGTCGATGTCTTCAGAGATTGTAGTTTTACAAAAACTGTGGCGACACTCCCCCAAAAAAATCATTAATCTCTGGGAAGTGAGATAAAACAAATCACACCTGCAATTGCAGCTTATTGCCATAGATGGCTTAACAGAAATCTTAAATCAAAGAATCAAAATATTTGAAAAAGGGTGAAAACACGGTATCTTTACGAACAAATGAAGTGTGTTCCCCATCCCTGCGATGCTGCAAAATGACACCCAGTTGCCGCGGCTGCACCTACAGAAAGTGTGTGCAGCCAGAAGTAGAATGAAGCCTTTACTGTCATGCACCCCCGTCCAAAGTCAATGTTGAATTGCAAGTCGATGGCCATACGTTACACTGAAAAAACAAACACACCAGACCAGTCTTCACACCAGTCCCAGCCTGTTAGCAATCATGGCAGGAAGTCCTTTTATTCTGGGTAGAACGAACGGAGGACACTGCCCTCATCCGTCTTCACTGACGTATGGAAAGATGAAAGAGAGAGAGAGGAAGCATCCAAGCCTCGTCTCCTCCTCGTCAGTCACGTTGACAGCTGGAACCGCTCAATCTCCTTAACTCGTGGAGGACAGAGTGTGTACGTGTGTGTGTGCCTGCGTGTGTGTGTGTTTGCAAAAGGGACGTTTGGACAGAGCGTATGACAGCACACTGGATGAAAGCAGTGAGGATGAGAAGAGTGACAGACTTGGAGGTTGGAGGAAAGTGAAGCTTGAAGATCTTAACAGTAACTCTATGCTTTACATAAATACACGTGCAGGTCATCAGTCATTTTATGAAAGATACTCCCCTTTGAACATCTTATCACCTGTTTGTAACTTTATTTTGGTTCCCCTTATCAGTATTGGACTTAAATCCAGCCGCACGTAGCCTATTGGTTGTCAGATTATCTCTCGGCAGAATGCAAATAGGAACATTTAGATTCACAACAATGAGCAGACACATAGTGTGAGCGTTACCGGTAGCTGCAGACCGACCCTCCTCTGAAACAAGTCATATGTTTGCCAGGCAGGTCTATTTTTTGCACGAGAAGAAAGCTCACCTGCAAGCTGAGTGTCGGAGCAGCTGCCTTTATTTCTCTATTTATTATTCATTACTCATACGAGCTCTATTTTAGAAGCTGCAGACCCAGCTATATCCACACTAAAGATGCTTTCTCTCAAGCTTATGTGCTGCCATGTGTGATGAAAATGAAAAGAAAGCCTTCGGTGCAGGAAGAGGAAGCAGACGGAATGCTGCAGAACAGTTATTGGAGTTTTTTAAGGTTTTAGGCTGCCAACAACACACTCTGGACCAGGCGAGGAAATAAGCATACATAGACAAATATATATATAAGACCAAAAGACAGAGATAGATGTAGAGAATTCCTTTGCCTTACTGTTCAATTGTCTCTCTTTCTTTTTAGACTTAAAGTGTGTCTTCTCTCTATAGCCTCCTCTCCCCCTGGGGAATATCATGCTGATTTTCTCCTGCAGCATTCTGCACACGGCAGCCTGAGTGTCCTGATTTTATGCTCACTGACTCACCGTATCCAATAAGAGGGGGAAACAAATGTTATCTTACTCAGGGTAATAACATTCCTAGCTGTTATCACACTGTCAACTAGTTTGTAAATCTGGTACGAATTCAAAAGGATACTTCAGATTGATCTGCTGATACTGTGACAGCTGTGACAATACTGAAGCAGAAACAAAGGCAGCACTTGTTTTTAAGTCGGACAAATTGTTTTCCATGTAGATTTATTTGTGCGTAATGCTAATATGCTAGCAGCGTGGCTCCGGTCAAGGCAATGTCAGTTGATCAATCAGACACCTCTGTCCGATGTGATATATTTCGACTACTGCTAGACGGATTGTCATGAAACCTTTACAGATATTAATGGTGTACAGATGATGAATTTAAATACATTTGGTGATCCTCTCACATTTTATGCAACGTACCAGAAGGTCAAAAGTTCAAATGTGTATAGGTCAAGATCCCAGCATTCATGTTTTCCAGGTGGTGTATCGCAGAAAGTAGTGCAACCATAGTTAGCTTTTTGAGTTTAAAAATTATTTAAAGGATTTTCCTGAAATTTACTCCAAAAATGTGTGTTTCCACCAGGCTGCGTTGTAATTACATTTACATTACATTTCGAGGGCAACACATTATCTCCAATCCTCCTCAACTGTATTCTGTGCTTCTGTGCTTATTATAAAGTGTTCATGCTAACCATGTTCTTGACACCAGCTTCTAGTTTTTCCTTATTTAAATCATACTTTATATCAATTCATATCTCCGGTAATTTACCAGACATGAGACATGATGGCTTCTCATGTATTCATGTTCTCTCTATTAAGATGTATCGACACATTTGCTTTAATCTGTCACTGGTAACACCAGCATGATAGAAGAGCCTTTACTGCAGAGACAGATATATATTTAATGCGTGTATGACATCATGCACATAGAAACATCATAACAGGAAGTCAGAATCCATTAGGAATGATTCAACTCAAGGTCATCACGTTATAAATTGGACACTAATATGACGGGAAGACAGAAAAAGACAAAGTAAGAAGGTGATAAAACATATTATTCTCTATTAAAACAAAAAAAACAAAAAAAGCCTCCTTCCACAGCTGCAACCATTTACAAGCACACAAACAATCTAAAATACACTTGTATTGGCTGCTTGACTTTCCCCTGTTTGTGTGTGTGCGTGTGTGTGTGTGTGTGTGTGTGTGTGTGTGTGTGTGTGTGTGTGTGTGTGTGTGTGTGTGTGTGTGTGTGTGTGTGTGTGTGTGTCACAATTGGCTGTCAGCTTTCTTGTTTTTCTTTGTCATTTTCTTCTCTCCTGAACATTTCCGATGAAATAAATAGCCGCTCTTGATCTTTTTCTCACTCCTCTTGTACACGGTGGTGTTGTCAGCTGTTCTGTGCTGTACATTTTTTTATTTGTTTCATTGTCTGTCAGTGTCTAGACAGACTAAAGCAGACAGAACAGAGCAGGTAGACAGATGAACTGGCCCTGCACCCAGTTGGTAGCACAGAGAGAGATCTTACAAACTTCTTACCACTAACCCAGGCAGCCTGGAGAAGAGGTCAGAGGTCACCACGGATGCAGCAGCAACCTCACTCTGCGTTTTCTCCTCCTTTCTGCAGCGATGACCTTCCTCCAGAACCGTCTATCGGGGAGGAAGGGAAGGGAGGAGAGGGGGAGCTGCAGAGTGAGGTCGAGGCACAACCACAGCCTGAGCAACCGCTGCAAGAACCTCAGCCACAGACGCAACGAGTGCCCCGGTGAGCCCGACCCGGAGGAGAGGTAGAACGAAAGAGAGACGAGGAGCTGGAGAAGAAGGAGGAACGAGACGAGGTGGTTGACCAAGACGAGGAGAAGGTTCTCCACTTCCCGAAGTCCCCCCAGGACAAGTCGCAAGGAGGTGAAGCCCGAGTCAGAGCCCGAGGGCCATGCCGACCGCCGGAGCCCGAGCCCAAGCTCAAGACCGACATCCACAAACCAAAGCCCGACACCGCGAGCCCGACTCCGAGTCCAACCTGAGCTGATGCCCCGAGACCCCCTTCCAACTCTGTCAACGAGACCCCTACCAACTCAGACACCCCCACCCCGAACTCAGACGACCAGACCACCCACAGCAGCAGACACCCGNACGTAGTTCCCCGTGCTTCAGTTTCAGGGAGCGGTCCATAGATAGCTCTGCGAGTTCATCCTGAGCTCTGCTGTTTAAACTTGTGGCTGATATTAATGTTATTTTAGACTTCTTTTGCACTGCTGTTCCATCATGTTCTGTCATCCCTGCCTGTGTTGTTGAGGGCTGGGGTGCTTCTTTATTTATTGTCACTACGTAACGATCCATCTTGAAATTATTTGGCGCAAGGATAAAAAGCTGCTCTGCACACCGTAAACAATGACGGCTGACGTAAATACTGAGAATTTAAGCTGTTTAATATTTCTAAATCTGAGCAATATATGTTTTATTAGCTTATAAACTCCATTGTACATGTAATAAAATAAAGTGTATATGAAGTGAAGTTTATTAAGTGAGAAAAAAATGTGGAACATAAAAATACGTTTTTTTGCGGCACACTTGGACAGTGCTCGCGGCACCCCAGTGTGCCACGGCACACCGGTTGGGGAAGACATCTATGGGACAGTTTTGAGATTTCTTCAAATGCCGTTGCCATGGCAACACAATGCTCGCCTTGAAACACGGTTTTCTCATAACTTCAGTGAAATTCTCCACACAGCCCAGAACTTCACAGGTTTAGTAACGATGCAGCCATCAACGCATCTAAGCGTAGTATGGGGTGTCATCAAATACCGTTGCCATGGCGACGGACCACTCGCCATGAAACACGATGTGGCTGTAAGTCCCATCGACACGGTCCAATCATCCCCCAATCTTCACTTGTATATCATCGGTCCATGCCTCAACAGCTCTACGCCAAATCTGAGATCTCACCATAAGCCGTTTCCATGGAAACGCATCCCTCGCCATAAAACATGATGTCGCTGTAACTCCTATGAAAATGTTCAAAAAGTGCTCAAACTTCACATGTGTACTAGCTATCCAGCCGTAAAGACAACTACGGGACAGTTTTGAGATTTCTTCAAATGCCGTTGCCATGGCAACACAATGCTCGCCATGAAACACGGTTTTCTCATAACTTCAGTGAAACTGCTCCAAACGCCCCAAAACTTCACAGGTTTGGTAACGATGCAGCCATCAACGCATCTAAGGGTAGTATGGGGTGTCGACAAATGCCGTTGCCATGGCGACAGATCATTCGCCATCAAGTTAGTTCAGAAGTTTGCAGTTCAAATATTCTGCTGATTTTCAAAGCATTTTTACTTTCTTTTCTTCTCTCATCACACATTCAAGCCCCCAGTGTTCATGTATCATTTCAATCTAAATTCTTCACTTTCTTCTTACACATTACATTTCAGCATAGCAGTTTAGCGTCAGATTTCAGTGTTCATGTATCATTTCAATCTAAATTCTTCACTTTCTTCTTACACATTACATTTCAGCATAGCAGTTTAGCGTCAGATTTTCAGCATAAAGCATTCCCAGTAGCAATTTCTTCAGGAATTGCATTCTCTAGTTTGTTTTATTATTTTATTCAGTTGGTATCAAGTATTCTTTTTAATCACAAAGCTATGTGTTACTCTGGCTATACCTGGGAAGGGAGAAAGTATTGTTTTTAATTTTTGTAAATTGTGACAGATTGGGGCTATAATGTGACCGAGATGGAGGAGGCATCCAGACCCAGAGCCTTTAAGTAGGCCGCTTGCAAGAGACGGAGAAATCAATCGCCCTACACATGTTGCCACCCACATGTGCATTAAATGGCCTCGTCATCACTCAAACACTGGTTCATATGTAGGCTGTGCTCCAGCTGAAGTCCTTCAAGAGAGAGATGCAGGTCTGAGTCGGGTTTGGAGCAGGAATTGGACCGCGTAGCATTTGTGTGGTAGAAAAACAAAACAATTGAAAATCCTCTTTCAGAGTCTCAGATTGTGATATGGCAGACACAAATCTAAGTGTATTACACTCTGGGAGATTCATTGTTCTATGAAAACTAATTCTGACTGCCATTGAATTCAGCACCACGGAACAGAAATTAGACCAGCCCACATGCTAAATAGGCTGCCCACCACAGCAGGCCAAAATACATCATATACTAATCACTGAGCTGAGTGGGAGAGACGTGGAGACATAGGGAGCAAGAGGGAGACAGAGAGAGGGGGGAGAGGTGCATGAGAGGGGGGGGGGAGCGCACATGCACACCAGCCTACACAAATTCACACTGTAACAAGGTCATTTAGTGGCTTGCCCGAGTAAATAAAGAGCAAGAGGGGGAGAATGTGGCAGGAGAAGGAGGAAAATGGATCAGCATTTACTGGCTAATTATCAGCCGGAGGAGGCGAGACGAGAGAGGCGAAGGGAGGACGGATCAACACGCCGAGATGGAGGGAGCGGGAAGATGGAGCGAGCCAGAGTTTAATCTCTCTGCAAATATCACGAGAACAGAGGCGCAGGGAGAGAGGGGGCTAGATAGGAAATATAGCGAAAAAAGTATTTGCAAAGTAGCTGCCATGAGGGGTCGAGTGAGCAGGCAGTGTGACTCACAGCTGTGATCTGATAGCGGAGAGGTGGGGATCTGCTGCCACCCTCTGCCCGTGGCTCACATGACATCTGCAGTGGCCAAGATCAGTCACGGAGAAAAGGAGGATGGTGGCTAGTGGCAGTGGAATCCATTAGGTTGGTTTTAACCACAGGGCCAAGACTTACTGATTACTCCCGTCAAATCATCTCCTTCAAAAGCAACAACACCTATGGCGGAGTTGCAGTGCCAATGGAGAGGATTTGTCACCACGTTTCAAATAAACTGGTTGTGTTAGCGATCAGCTGGCATGTAACCCCTGGGTGCGGGTTGATCTTAAAGTGCGTCGTGAGGACATTTTCCCGGGAAAGGTGACAATAATCTCGAGAGACTTTCTGACCTTAAGGCTCGACTGATTAACTGGGGCACGGGCCAATTTACTCTTTTCTCATCATCTTCCTCTAAAAAGTGACTTTTCTTTTTTATTTCTCAAAGAAGCCGTCTGACCTTGTAACCATTCTGTCTGATTTATTTTAACTGGGGCATGCACTACATAACAGCCAAGAGGCCATCATGTCACTGGTTTCTATTTAACCCTTATGGGTACTCTTCTCTTTCCATCCAACAAGACCTCTAGTTGCTCTTAAGCATCAGTACATTTGCATGCCTCCACCAACTACTCAAGTTACAGTTTACATCTATGTGTCCTCTAAAAGGACATCATTTTATCCCGTTAGAGATCTATGTGGAATTGTCATAATTTGCCTTTGAGGTGTGATCTCGACCTTCATTTTTGAGTCCAAGTACAAGTTGTTGCCATATTTGATTAAGTCCCCAAATGTTCCTGTCATTTTGGAATGTTTCCAGCATGGAGGTATACAAACACATCGACCTGTGATGTCGTGTTGAAGTTGTGCAACAAAGATGACCCTACTGTAGATACAGTAGGTAGAACAATATTTGACAACTGCTTCCCAAAAAAGCCAACTACTGCTACTTGTCATTTAATCCTCAAACACCACTAGTTTGTGATGTGGTTGGCCTGAAAGCAACAGTGGCAGTGCTCGTGAGGAGCCGGTGATGAGAGGCTGGTGAAGGGGTTCACACCACGTCACCTTTTATCCATCACCTCACAGGTCGATGGCCACTCAGGGGAGAGGAGGGGAAGGAAGGGGAAGGGAAAAGAGAGGAAGACTATTGGGGCATGGCCTACATCTCCAGTCCCGGTAGAGGTGGGAGGAGAGAGAGAGAGAGACCAGACAGTCATAGAGGAGGATGCGTCAGCGGGATCGACTTGTGGGGATTGGACCTGCTCTGCCTCTCCACTCTATCCATCACTCAGATAATAAGAAGTGAAAAGGAGAGTGGACGAGAAGAGGAGAGGAGTGTATGATGATGGGATTGATGGATAGATGTGTCCCTGGGAGAGTCGGTGCATTGCAGTAGTAGGTGCCGACAAATGTCATGAGGACCAGTATGGAGAGGCAATGACAGCCTGAGTAACCTTAGCCTGTCCAATATGTTCTTAGCTTTAAAGTGGCTCGAGCTGATGCAGGGTCAGCACCCGGGTTCCATCACAACCCTCATCTGGACACTTAACTAAAAAATGTTGGCGCCACGATGCTCGATTCAAAGAAACAGATTTTCAAGCTGTGTTATAAAAGGCATGGGATGATATATTAAATTAATGTCACGATTATGTCTGGCCAAAATTATTTAAATGTATAAAACTATCCCGATAATTGAGAAATTATGCTTAAAATGTATTAAATAGTGCAATCCATTTATCCTACATTTTAAAGAACAGATGCTATGAATTAGGGAAAAACCTTAAAAAACAAACTGTACCTTAATCTTAAATAATAAGGCCCACTTGAATAAAAAAGGATACTTTTCTTAATAAATAACATTAACATTGTGAAAGTCTGTTAATTTCTGTGTAAAAAATATATTACTTTTTCTATCATGATAGCCAGCAAAATAATTGTTTGTCACTTTTATGAGGATACTCTCGATTATCAGGATAATGAAAATATCCTATGGTTACCATTGTGAGTGTTTTTATACAAATATAGTCCTATCCCTAATCTTAGATCACATGTATGCTGCTAGATAAACTACATTTACTATTAAAGGAGATAATCTGAAGAAATGTTCTTGCGAAATGCACGGTGCAGGAGCTTCTGACGCATTTCTAATACCTAAACGACAAAGACAACAGCAACACCTCCTCTGAAGCATTTTGGGGGGAGAGCAGCAGAAATAGGACAGAGAAGCGTCCTGCAGAGATCAAAAAGTGCCTCGAGGTTTAGGTGTAGGCATCAGCAGTGCAGTTCTGCAGCAAAATAATAAAGGGAACTGCAGAGGGAGAGGACGCTCATACTCTTGATCATTTGCCGACTTCACTTCTCATGTATTTTCATCCTTATCCTTCTAAGTCTCCCGATATCACTAGAACGCACATTTTTTATTTAATTTTCCACCATCTACTTAACTCATTCAATCAATGTTTATTTATATAGCCCAATATCACAAATGTTACATTTGTCTCAGTGGTCTTCACACTTTGTAGAGAATATCAGTACGACACCCTCTGTCCTTAGACCCTCACATCGTACAAGGAAACACTTCCAGAGAAAACCCACAGTTTAAAGGGGAACATGGGAGAAACCTCA